ACAGTATGCACCTACACAATCACTAGGTCCATTTTACACTGCCATATGTGTACCACAGTCTGGTAAACAGTAGTAACTTGGTAAATATGTATATTGACTATTCCTGGTTGTCAACTTGACTATATCTGGAATGAACTACAATCCAGAATTGGAGGGCTCACCTGTGATTCAGATCTTGAGGCTGAAAGACACAAGTTTCTGACCTGGATCTTAGCATGGAGATCTTGAGGCATTGTGGCCATGAAAAGCTTAGGCCCAGGCAAGGTAGTATACACTTTTAATCCCAGGAGACTTGAGGCAAGGAGATCTCTGAGTTCAAGCTCAGCCTGGGACAAAGTAAGTCCCAGATCCAGGCATGGTAGTACACACCTTTGATCTGAGCCATATTTTTCTGCTGAAGGCCTACATAAGGATGTTGGAAGAAGGAAGAGTCACTCTTATTTGGCTGCTTGTACTTTCTTGCCAGCACATCTGTTGGAACCTACTTCTAAAGAAGACCAGCTCAAACAACTAGCCTCGTGGGGCTGAGCAACTACTAGATTCTTGGATTTCCCATTCACAGCTGCCCATTGTTGGGTTAGTTGGACTACAGACTGTAAGTCATCACAATAAATTCCCTCAATATAGAGAGACATTCCATGTTTTGATGCTAGAGAACCCTGACTAATAAATACAATATGTGTTGAAGTACTTGTTACTTAAATAAATGGTTGATTAAAAATTTTCCTGTTATTTTCCTTGTTTGAGGTTTTGGTGTATTACTCTATAATTTTTTTTTAAATCTTCTTTTCCTATTATGATACTTGCTGAGGTACTTGTGGAGAACCAAATAAAATCTTACCTTCCTCAACTTATCTTTGGGTTCTAAGCATACCTGTTCCCATTTTCTAAGTGACCTCCTGCCCTTCACTAACTTGGCCATAGTGGCAAAATCTACAAGGGCTCTGCACTCTTGTGTGGCCACAGCTTTCTGTTCTTTACATGTTTCCCACCCTGGTTCCAATCCCTTGCTGTTATAAATTCTTTGTAGTCATTTCCAGGCTGTGTTCCCTGTTTATACATCCTAAACTACTCTCTTAAAATGCACCCAGTGTCCTTCGCGTTCACCTTTACCCTAATTCATTTGAAGGTGGGCCTAATTAGAAGGCTGCTAAACCATCTTCTTCCTTTTCTGCTTCTGGGCCTCCTGGGCACAGCCAGGTGCTAGCACAGACTACTGCTGTCTCTAAGAGCCCATTCGATACTCCAGGTCTGAGTCTGTCAGGATCATACACTTGGGTCAAGACCTACTCCTACCCTTCCCCTTCCACGGCGTCTTCCACATAAGTGTCTTCCTTTCCCTGATACAGGGTTTTCTCATTGTCTGTTTTCTGCTCCTATAAAGTAGTCTATTTATGAGACCAGCCTCGTAATTCCTTTTCAGATGAGCTCTACTGCAGTCGCACAGCATAGCTTCCATAGTCTTCCTGTTCAGGGTCCTCGTTTTCTCAATTACTTTCTCCAACAGACATCTATTAAGAGGCCTATTATGCATTAGGACCTCTTCTAGACACCATATTTAAAAGGAAATGAAGACAGACAAAAATCCTTCCCCTCACTGAGGAATCGAGTAGTGTTTAAACAACAAAAAAAAACCCAAAAAACAAAAAACAAAAACAAAAAACAAAACAAAACAAAAACACCCACCAACACACGCATGAGGTAATTTTGCTCTTCATAGATGCAGCCCATAGAGCAGTAGAAAAACTGCACTGAAGGAGGAACCCATGCTTGATTGACACATTCCCAACAGTGCTCCTATATCTTTCTCTCCTATTCTCTTCTTGAAAGATTGCTGAATATATGCCATCTCTACCTTCTTTATTAGGTCATCGTTTTAGATGGAAAGTAATGCAATAAAAAAATAATAATACCACGGTTGTAATCACAATAGCAAGCAAATAGAACCAGCTTAAATGTCTATCAACAGATGAATGGGTAGTAAAAATGTGCAACATACATACAGAGAAATTTTTATTGTGCTACAAAGAAAAATGAAATTATGAAATTTTCAGTAAACTGGATGGGACTCTAGAGTATTATATTAAGTTAGATAACACAGACTCAAAAAGACAAACATTGTATGTTCTTTCTCATATGTAGGTCTTATCTTTGGATTTATATATATACTTACATGACTATAAAAGATTTACAACAGCAAGGGATTGGAACCAGGGTGGGAACCAGGCAAAGCACAGAAGGCTGTGCCACACAAGAGAGTGCAGAGCCCTTGGAGATTTAGCCACTATGGCCAAGTTAGTGACAGAAGGAGGTTACTTAGAAAATGGGAACAGGTGTGCTTAGAACCCAAAGATAAGCAATAGCTCTTTGAGGCTGTAATACAAGCCTTCCTCTTCTAGCCCCCACCCTTGCAGATTAAAACTAGGGTCTCCTGCGTCCTGCCTGAATGCTCTTAAACTGGCCTACATGTCACTCCCAGCAGCTCTTAAATACCAATATTAAGTGCAGAGATACACTTTCGCCCACATTCTCTTTGTATGCACTACACCTATGTCAGGTGACTGTGGGAAGGATTTCAAATGAAAAGAGGGAAGTAGTAACAATTGCTACTTTAGAACAGCATATATAAACCAAAACTAGCTCAAACAGACTACTATATTATGATGAACTTATTCTTAAGAGACAATATCCATTGTTATGGTTTGAAATAATGAAGACCTCTTAATTATTTGTAAAACTCTATATGTCTTGATTCTAACCTTAATGTTTTACATATTCCAGTAAATATTCTCAAATTCAGTATTGCCAAAGCTTCTAACACTTAAATTCCTAACAGTTGTTTCCTATTCAATTGTCTAGTGTCTGAAGATCTCAGACAGAAGACTGTTCTAGATTTCCTGTTCTTTACCTTTTATATTTAATCATTAAGCCGTGGTAAACTTATTCTGAATATTTCTCAACTTCCTGTTTGCCTTCTGGAAAGCTGTCTAACTTTGACCTGATCTCCCAATTCTCATCGTGTTTGAATTTCATTTTCACATGGCTGCTAGCGCAACCTAAAGGTTATGCTTCTACTTTGACTGTTTAGATAGCTGTGATTTACTGATCAGAAATGACTATCATGATCACTCCTGTTCGCTTCTCAGTTTTGTAATTAACTGTACTTCCTCATGAGCACTGTAATCTAGTCATACCATATAATTTGAAGGAACATACATATAACCAGCAAGTTGCTTCTGACTTAAAGTTTATATTTATGCTGTCTATTTCTTTCTTTTTTATTGCCTCTCAAGTTCAGCAACAGGTAAGCTTCTCAAGGACAAGGGCAACCTTAAATACTGAATATTTATTTACTCTAATTTTGGGGGGTACCATTTGCTGTCATAGATTTAATACTGACATGAATAAACAATGATATTACTGTGGTACTTTTCCACATGTGCGCATGTTTTACAGAATCATCAACAGAAATATTAAAAATGTGTAAGGGCTTCAGCTGTCATAAACTTGCCTGTTCTATGAAATTAAGAATAGATCTTAGCATAAGAAACATGATGATTGCATTAATATATATGGGTGATATGACAAAATTATGAGAGGAGTAAACCTTTAATTGTTTAAGATTTCAGAAAATCAGAATGCATTTCATTAGTTGTCTGATTTGGGAAGTTCTGTGAAAATATCTAAGTGGATTTTTCTTTTCCTAAGAGATGGTTTTCATTCTTTTTTCTCTTTCCTTTCCTTTCCTTCTTTCTTTCTTTCTTTCTTTCTTTCTTTCTTTCTTTCTTTCTTTCTTTCCTTCCTTCCTTCCTTCCTTCTTTCTTTCTTTTTTTTTTTTTGCCACTACAGAAAACATACACATTTAAAAGGGAGATAAGTGTTGGGTGTCCAAAAACTCAGTGTATAGCACATCTACCCAAGCATACTGTGTTACTGTGCAGATGTCTCATCTGACAACCCTCTTAGTCTTATATCTTAGTTCTGGCTACAATGGAAGGAGCTTCTGATTTGTCTCTAAAGAAGCCTAAATTAGTTGACCTTCCACACACGAAAAAAAAAAAAGCCCCCCCCCCCCCCCAAAAAAAAAAAAAACCTTTCCAGTTTTTAGAGAAACTGTGGTGGTTACTCATAAATAATGTTGAGGGAATGACAACCATATAATACAATTTTTAACAGAATATTAGTGTTTCCAGGGCAAAACAGGGCATCTGGCATGACTGGTATTGTGAGAACGAAGACAGCCGTCTAGCAAAGCGACAGTCACTGTCACAAACGCTCTTACTCTGACTGGAGTTTTCTATTTCCTAACTCCATCTTAATGTACTCTTTCCTAGTATACTGTGGCTTATAAATCTTGCTTTGGGAACTGAGATTCCTCCTGCGATGAAAAATAATTTAAGGTATTAGTGAAATTTAAAACATGCTCTGATGTTTCCCATAAGCTTAGGCCATGCCTTTGTGGCTATAGTAAGTACCCTAAGGTGGTTCTGAGGAGACAGGAACACATCTACCACTGAATATAAGGAATAAAATTTGCTAAAATATAACTGGGCAGAAGTCAAATACTCTAGATTTATTTTTCCAATGGCAAGACATTGGTATTGGTATTATAAAAACAGTGCCAATCTCCTCATAAATATCCTTGAGTACTTGCTACACGTCAGAAGGTGGAGCTCTAAACATATCTGAAATGTTGGTTTCATATGCAGACCACATGTGTGTGAGATGAGAGGATTGAAACAGGAAAGTGTTTAGAAAAATCCACCTACAGAAGACCCCCGTTCTTTGAGGATAACATTGCCCACATCTCCTAGCATGTACAAGGTTCACTGACAGAAAAGAAGTGCAGTGATTTCCTTTGACATTTCAAATATTTCCTGTTACTAAAAACTTAGGTATATGTAAATCCAACAATATGATATAAAGTACATTTAAAAGGCAAACCATTTTTGAAAAAACATGGTTACCTAGGAGAATATGGAAAACTGAGAAATACTTACAAGCGTCTCGGATATAGAGTAGCATGGCTGTGAAGACATAGTCGACTAAGCTCAGGTTGAGGCCATCCGCAAACAAGGCATCCCAGACCACTAGCAAGTCCTGCAGAGGGAACTCTCTCCCAAACAGGAGCCGTACCCATCGTCTGCACAAACAAATGTCGAAACAAGACTTCTGATAGTGATCCTTCTCTCATGAAAATGAAAAACATTACAACTTATTAACTGAGCAGTCATACAATACTATATGTTAAAATATACAATAATTCAAATATTAAGAAGGCATCATGTATCAAAACAAAACACTGAAAAATGTATGTCTATGAAGTCCTACACATGATCATAGGCGTTACACATGATCATAGGTGTTACATATTAGTCTATGTGTAAACATGACAATGAAACTCGGGGAAAACAAAAAATTTACATATGAAATAGAGATCACAAACCTTTACCAAAAAAAAAAAAAAAAAGACAGGACAAACGTGCAGTCAGTGCAGTGTTACACAGCATCTGTGGTTACTCACTGAAAATACCATGTTCCGAAATTTCACTTTATCTAATTGATTTTTGTTAACTTAACTTTTTACAAATTGTTTCTATAACAAATTAACGTAGTCAAACTTAGAAATTTATATTCGCACATTTAATAATTATTTAAGTACTAATTTTAAAACTCAATGTTAGGAAAAATCAGTACTTTTGTTGGGTTTTGGGAGGGTCAAGTATACGCAGTTATTGAAAATGAGAAGCAAACATTTTTTGGCCTGACATAGTGCTAATCACTTAGGCTCTTTTTCAGGAAATGTTTTCATGCTGATTTCATGCCCAGGTGATGAGTACAGAACGGAAGTGTGTATGCCCTTAGGAAGTGTGTGAGCAGCTAGGTACTAGACAATGTCTGCATGTAACTGTATACATAGTGACATGACCTTAGGCTTCCCCAATCCTAATGAAGCAATTAATATCAATGTTTATAAAAAATTTAGAATTTAGTTTGATATACTTTGATTCATTTTTTCTAATTTTATGCAATAGGGGTACAAGTCTTTCATACAGTCTTTCTGCCATGCATTTCAGTGAGAGTTCTATGTAATTCTGGCATATAACAGAGCATATAAAAATGTAAATTTCTAGTACAAGCAAATAATATGAAAGAAATTCTTTAAAAATTATAAACACAGACACACACAGATACACACAGACACACAGACACACACACACACAGAGAGAGAGAGAGAGAGAGAGAGAGAGAGAGAGAGAGAGAGAGAGAGAGAGACATGATTAGTGAAGATCTGACTTCTTCGCAAAATCTGAAACAGAATACAGCTGTCTGGAGGTTAAAGTGAGGCAAGCCCCTCCAACTAAATCCAAAGACCTCTGCTCCAGAGTATTAAGGCAGAACCACAGTTGTGACAAAACAGTCTCTAACCACAGGCACCTATCACCACAGAAACTAGAAATCATGTGATCAAACATGTTCACATTCATACTATCAAATTAATCAAGAATATTTTTTTCTAGACTAAATTTTCTACCTCAGCTATTACTCTTTTTTTTTTTCATGAAAAGATGCCTTGGTAAATATTTTTAAATGTAATAATTTCTACAACTTTTAATTTATCTTTCTTTTTTAAAAAATTATTTATTTATTTTATATATATGAATACACTGTAGCTGTCTTCAGACACACCAGAAGAGGGCATTGGATCCCATTACAGATGGTTGTGAGCCACCATGTGGTTGCTGAGAATTGAACTCAGGACCTCTGGAAGAGCAGTCAGTGCTCTTAACCTCTGAGCCATCTCTCCAGCCCCTTAATTTATCTTTCAAGTCTCAGTGTACATCTAAAATAGTCACTATGCATATTTCATCTATGAAGCTTAAGAAAAAAATTATAATATACTTCTATTTCTTACAAATCACCAAGGCTAATATGTACTGTACCCAAAAGAACAAAATATGACTAAATTAAATGGTTACTTTTCTAAAGTATGAAGACTTAGCTGGTCTTGCAAGAGTGTGGAGTAGAGGGGTGGGAACTAGAGATGAGCAAACTGAAAAGCACCAGTGCAGAGAATCTTAAACCGATACATCAATATCTGCACTCTCAAAGGACAAAAACATTTACAATGTGGTTACTTGCAACAATTTAACTGACAAAACATGAAAATTCCATCAATGAATAAAATGAATGAATGTTAATACAGGACATGGAAGAGAATATCAAACTGTTTTTTTAGCATTTCTTACAGCTGGAATTCTTATGTAAATTTCAATGCTGGTGCTAACAATAGTCTTTTTTTTTTGGAACAATTTATCTATCTCTATGACAAAATGTCAGGTATTGCTCAACCTTCTCTTGCAACATTCCTGTTGCTGAGAGTTGTATGAGCTTAGTTTCAAAATGAGCTCACAGGCACTTGCATACAGCCGTGTCTACTGGAGCACTGCAGAAGGGCTAAGTGCCAATCCTCATCCCTCACACTGAAGAGGACAGTGCTCATCTCACTCTTCCCACTGTCCACAGGCTTAACATCTTCAGAACTATGTAAAATAAATGTTTTCAGCAGTTTTATGTTCACTGTGAAGCCCATGATGTGCTATTTTACAAACTTTCACATTGCTTCTTCTTCTTTTTTTTTTTTTAAGACAAGGTTTCTCTGTGTAGCCCTGGCTGTCCTGGAACTCACTCTGTAGACCAGGCTGATCTCAAACTCAGAAATCCACCTGCCTCTGCCTCCCAGGTGCTGGGATTAAAGGTGTGCGCCACCTCTGCCCAGCCACATTGCTTCTTCATTCATGTTTTACTCTGCCAAAATCTCCTCTATAATCCCAGAATCAGCACCAATACACAAGTAATGTGGGGGAGGCCTGGGCAGGGCTGAGGGGTGGGAGAGGGAGAGGGTAGATCTGAAAAGTTCTCTGCAAAGTCCTTTCAGCACTTCACTAAGTGCTCTACGTGATGTTCACCAAGGGGTGACAGGAGTCTGTAAAGCCATGGTACTGAAAAGCATAGGTCTAGTAGAATTGCAAACATAAGAATTGATCTTAATAATAGTGGCATGAAAACTGTTCAGGAAGTAAGAGTAATTTAAAAATATAAGATTAAATGTGAATTTAGAAATGGAAAATATAAGGAAAGATGGGTTACAGCTAGATATGTAGTACATTATTGATTCATTCATTTATTATGTATCTATACCATGAACATAATGTGCGTGTGTGAGTGTGTGTGTGTATGCATGTCATGACACCTATGTTATAATCAGAGTACAGTTTTCAGGAGTCAGCTCCCACCTCCTGCACTGGGACCCGGGATAAAACTCAGCTCCCCAGGTTTGTGCTATAAGCACCTTTTATCCAGTCTTTCATTTTGTTGGCTCAGAATGTTGATTTGATTATAAGATCTAATAATTTATACATGCAAAACATTGAACTATAATCTCCATGTTCCATTTTATAAAATGGGGAAGTTAAGGACAAATTCCTAATCTTTAAGATGAGAGGATATGCATGAAGCAATGGTACAGAACTAACAAGGCCTGTCGATAACCACTGTAATCCAAGTTCGATTTACTTCATACATGTACTCAAAACAAAAACATTCATGTGCTACTTTGGGCTTTCCCCCCCCCCACATTAAAAAGCAAAGGAAAAAAAATCAGTGCTTTATGGAATGAGTTACTAATAGAAATTACTTCAGTAAGCTTTTATATTCTTAGAAAGGAAAATCTACTTTGAAAAATGAGGCCTTATAAAGAAGTTATGTCTACAATTAACATGCTTTTATTGCAGTTAAAAATATTTAGTGAGTGCTAAGTTACACTTAAGGGTGGCATTAAACCTTTCTTCCCCTAAAGACAGTTCAGCTTAATTGCTTGATACCATTACTTAGCTTTTCAGATGCTGCACCTGAAGACGGCGGTGCTCACATACTTCATGGCATGTGATGACATGGGGTCCTACTTTATCAAACCGATACAGCAAGTGTAGCTGCTACACAAACAGAGTGACTATCTCAAATACTGAAGTTAGTAATGAACTTCTCAGAGACATGACAGTCTTTGAGACTCTCAGCCGTCAGTTTTGTGTAATGACACTGCTTCTCCCTGGGCTCATTAACACTGGTGGTGTTAATGCTTGGTGAAAGGTGCATAGAAACACCAAGGGGAAATTGATTCATGAGAATGACCAATTTGAAGTTTAAATAAGCATAGCCAACATGGTTATAGAGGGATATATTATATATCTTCTTTTCTATTTTTATTTTCTGTTAATAACCATTTTGCATAGGTCATGGGTGTAGGAGGAGCTAAGGTGGGAGGAGTAAGGAACGGAAGAGAAGGAGTAGGAAAAGAAAGAGAAGGAAGAGGAGGAGCTAGGAGACAGGAGAGGAGAAGGAGAGATGGAGGCGGAGGCTCACGTGTCTCCCGCAGTCAAAGGTAGTTGGTATATCTAGGCTGGGTATTGGGTTACACCTCTGACTGAGTGGGCATCTTGTTATTAATCATTACCAAACATATAAAGAAAACCTTTCAATAAAGCCTTTGATTAATCTTTAAGCATTAGAGTCTCATTCTCTTACTGGGCCTGCATGGATGGCAAAATGGTCTGGGCAATGCCCAGCCTTGCGGAGACAGCGTGGAAGATTGGCAGAGCCATCTCCCATGCTGGTGTCTCGTGGGTGGCAGGGCTGGTGTTTCTGGAGGGCCAGTTCTAGCTGTGGTGCTCACTTGGCCTCCAGGAGAGAAACATGGCAGCTGAGCTAGGCAGAGCCGCTGTAGCTTAGATAGTCAGCTTGACAAGAGGCCGATTTTATTTAATTACTTCTACACATGGGTATCACTACCACACAAGAACAAGGTACGAAAATGTATTCAATTTAATTTAAAAACACCAGAAAATAGCCTAGCCTGGCATGGCTGAACACACCTTTAATCTCAGTACTTGGGAGTGTAAGACTTTTGGGTCTAAATGTAGGATTTTCTGGTCTCAAGAATCCTACTGTCCCAGGACACATCTGGGGAGGGGCACATTCCTTAGTCAAGAGTACACTTGCTGGATTAACATTCAGAGGAGGAAGGGAGAGGCTGATTAACATTCCTCAGACCACAGGGGAGGGAACCCACCTGCAGGTAAGGAG